TATATATATATATATATATATATATATATATATAAAGTAGGAAGATAAATTTAGATACTTTTCTAAAACTAAATGATTTTGCGCAAAAACTCGGACTTGCCGGAAGAAAGTGACATCACGGATAGCAGTTCTCTGAAGTCGATTAATGCTAAGTAAAAATCTTAATATGTAATGATTGTGTTGATTTTTTTTATTCTCAGTCAAGCAGGGCAAAGTGTCAGCTTACTAGAACTAGGTTATGTTAAGAAAAGTTTTCCACTGTAAGCATAGTCTGTAGTCTTTTAGATTGTCACTACTAATTATTGTTTCTTTTAGGTGGTAAAAGAAGCGGAAGCTTGGGCTAAAGCGAAGTTAGAAGAAGATGATATGGATGATTGATTTTTCATTTCCTTTTGCTTTATTCTAGTTGTTGTTTCATAAATTTAAATAAATATCGGTTATATACTTTGTGAATGAAATCGTATGCTTAATTTTGAACATACTTAATTTTGATGTCTTTTTGATCCGCCCATGGATAAATGTATACGAATATGAAAAATGAATGCAGAGGTACAAGTACACAGGAAGGAGATAGAAAAGAACGAGCAGGAAAGTATAAAGATCTATGGAATTAACCTTTGGACATTTCAGCAATGGATATTCATAGTTCCGTTGACGAGAGTGATCGCAGTATCAGCGTGAGGATTTTCTCAGAGGATGAACAGGAACTCAGCGAAGCTGCAATCGTCTTACCTCTGTCCACGACTGTCGGGCAATTACAGGTGCTTTAATTTTCAGAAAAAAACTTGGAGGTCATCGAATCATTGGCACCTGGTTTTCGATTTTTGTAATTTTTGAGTAAATTAGGATCCAAATGATATATTTAATATACATCACATGCATAATATATTATAGATTTTATGCAATCAACTGTTGGATAGCGCAGATGATCCAATTCCGATAACATTTCGGACGAGAGATGGCATTTTGATTGAAGATTCTTTGAAGGGTTCAATACCACAACAAAAAATTGATGTAGAAAAGGTGCCTTGTTATAGAATTTTCATGGGAACTCAAATACTTAAGAATTTCTGGAAATAATTTAGCTATTTCTGATTAAATTTTTTTGAGTGTCATTTGTGAAAGATTAGATCCGTTTCTCTGTTATCCAGACGGTGGAAAACATGGACAATAGAGACACTCTGGGATTAAGTAAATCCATGACACACATCGAGCGAATAAAGCAGATGACATTTTATTTGGGGAAAGTAATGTTTGGTGTAAATTACAGAGTATTGAACTGCTGTATTATCCAGAAGCAGTATTTCGCGTAAGACCAGTGACCCGATGCACTTCCTCACTTCCCGGGCATGGTGAGCCAGTGATTAGTGTGCAATTTAGCCCAAATGGAAGGTTCTTATTAAAATTTTTCCCTCCAACTTCGAGTTTAAATAACCGTGCCATTTTTACTATATGTCAATTCTCCGGCCTTCATGCAATTTCTGTGGGTTTTTCAGGGAGCTTGCTAGCGGTTCTGGTGATGCAACTGTACGCTTTTGGGATTTAAATACAGAGACACCATTGCACACTGCCAGAGGACATACAAATTGGGTATTGTGTATCGCTTGGTCACCAGATGGTAAGAAGCTTGCTTCGGCTTGCAAAAATGGACACGTATGTCTTTCAGAGATACACTTTAATAAATTCTTTTTATCTCTAAAGTTTTAATATTGATAACATATTTGCTAACGTTTATATATACATATGCATTAATGGAAATGTGGTGTTAAGATCTGTTTGTGGAATCCAAAAACCGGAACACAGATTGGCAAAAAAATGACCAGCCACAAACAGTGGATAAATCAGCTTGTCTGGGAACCGTACCATAAAAATCCACATTGCAGGTAATTCAGATATGTACTTCATAGATTTCCCCGGAATAAGAGTTTGATTTTTGAGTTCCTGGCCCCTATTCACTCCTGATTTTTTCTGTTCAAATGTTTGAGTTTGACATTACTTTCAAGACATTTGGCAAGTGCTGCAAAGGATGGCGAAATCAGGATTTGGGATACTGTCAAATGTGAGATGGTTCGCTGTTTAACAGGGCATACAGCATCAGTAACATGTGTGAAATGGGGTGGGCAAGGACTTATTTACACTGGTTCCCAGGTAATTATGCAACATATAAAAGACATTTCATGCAAAATTATTACTGAAGTAATTTATAGATTTATAACGAGTTTTTTTTTGATTGGGATTTGCACTTCATAAATTTTCACTTTCTTGTCAGTATAAAATTTCATTCGTAATCATATAAGGATTAGTTTTGTTGAAATCAGGCTGTTCTAGGATCGTACAATCAAAGTTTGGCGTGCAGACGATGGTGTCTTGTGTCGAACTTTAGCTGGTCATGCTCACTGGGTCAATACTCTGGCTTTAAATGTGGAATACGCTTTACGTACAAGTTTTTACAATGCTTTGGAACAGTCTACGGTATTACAGGATGATATGGTTGGTTAATAATAGTATTACGCAACGGTATGGAAAGAAATTTGAGAGAGCTATGAATTAGAATAAATAATCGTATTTATTGCGAAAGAAATGTTTCTCTCACTTATTCTATTCTAATTGGGGATACTGATTTTTTCTATTTTCAAAGGACCGAATTCACAAGAAATAGTGATTTCTACTGGTGTTATAGGCTTCTGATCATACCGTGCTGCCATAGTTTGCCATAGTGACACTATGAGATCAATGAACTGGGATCTTGAGTAAAAATCATGGTTTCATTTACTTCTTGTAGGCAGCGCATCAGAAAGAAGCTTTACATCGGTATGAGAAAGCCAAGGGCACATGTGGTGAGCTATTAGTTTCTGGTTCTGATGATTTCACATTGTTTTTCTGGAAACCAACGGATGAAAAGAAACCTCGGACGCGTATGACTGGCCATCAGCAACTGGTGAACCAGGTGAAATTAATGTAGTAAACTTTGTTAGAACTTGAGAGAGCAGAATGAAGGAGACGGTGAAGGAGAGGCTATCATGATGCAAAAAAAGAACGAACGAAATGGTTAATTCAAATGAGGGAAGTGATTCATTCGTCTTGTGATTAGCACAGATATTGATCAAATGTCAGAAATATGAAATCGCCAACTCAGCGCAACTTTTTTTAAAAGAGTATTCTTAGTATTTCAAAGTTCGAATGGTTTTTTTCCAGGTGATGTTTTCTCCAAATGCTCGGTATATTGCATCCGCATCATTTGATAAATCAATCAAACTGTGGTGTGGACGAACGGGCGCTTTTCTTGATACATTGCGAGGACATGTTCAAGCGGTTTATCAAATTGCCTGGTCTGCTGATAGTCGATTGCTGGTTTCCGGTTCGGCAGATTCGACATTAAAAGTAGGTTAAGAGTGTCATAAAATAATGATTTACTTTACCATTGTGAGTTTCACGTATACGGTTCTACTACCTTGGATACAAAAACAAGAGATACCACTCAAACTTATTATCATTGCTTAGTACCCCAAGCATACCATTATCTACCCAACGGTAGAATGCAGGAATTCTATGTCGAGAAAAGAGCTAAGAAGCTATTGTTGTATTATTGAGAAAAATATAATAGGAACTAAACTGGTTCTCCGCGGTGATTAATAGTATTGTGGTAAACATTTCAATAATTTTGACAATTTTTGATGATTGAAGGGTTTCGTATCATTATTCGTTAGGAGAGCGTTCTTTTCCTGATATTGATCAGTTCAATTTTTGTTACACCTTCTTTGTAAATCAGATCTAATAAACAATAAACGTTACGATAAATGTTAATAAAAAATGGTTGATAACAAAGCAAAAATAAAAAAGATGTGACAAATTTAATTGTTCAGGTATGGGACATGCATAAGCGTGGACTCTGTATGGATCTTCCAGGACATGGTGATGAAGTTTATGCGGTAGATTGGAGTCCAGATGGTACTCGAGTGGCTAGCGGTGGGAAAGATAAATTGTTAAAATTGTGGCGTCAGTAATGGAACAATAAAATGATTAAATATGTTTGAATTTGGTGTTATTTGCGCACCAAAAAGTATTTGCTTATCTAAACTTCGTTAGCGTATTTATACAGAAAAGGTAGGTTTCGAAACTTTGCTTCTTCATCAAACGAGCATTGAATTCAGTCAGTGAGAAGAATTTCTAATCATTCAATTTTAAGGTAATTTTAAGGCAGTTTCATGTATCTGATATGAAAGTGTTGCTTTTTAGATTAGTATGGATTGATGTGTTGTAATACACCATTGAAGAATGATGTTTTTAAAATTTTTTGAAAAAAATTTTTGAAAAAGAAAATTCATTTTTTTTTCTCGAGATTTCAGTCTGATTCAGCACAAAAGATATGTTTTGAGTGGTTGTATAAATGTAATTCTTTTGGTGTTCATATCATACTCGTATAAATTATGCGAGTCAAAAAAATGGTACGTGTTGAATTGTTCTGCTGGAAATGGTATACCGGATCGAAAATCATTGGGTAGATTCGGATAATATGTTTCCAAATCATACACTAATGATACTTTGTTGTGTTTCAATTCGTACGTTGCCAACACATTTCCCTGAAAATATTTTGAAACCTAAGTCTGAAAAATATCTTAGATTGAAAATATATGATCATTTCAAAATTTCCCCATATGGAAGATGAGATCCCGCAATTAGTCTTTAAACTCGGAATCGAAACAAATTATCTTCATTTTGCTTCATTCATATATTAGGATAAGAGTTAAGATACCTACTAATTTTTCATAATAAATAACTAATATTTTATCCCACATTCATCAATTACTTATAATTTTATCTCGAAATAGTAATTCATAGCTTACCGAAACAAGTATAGCACTTCCGTTCTTGATGGGAAATGCAGCTTGTGGAAAAAATAAGATACGATTTGGGAGCATTTTAGGCCATCCTTGTATTGGACTAAAAGAGAGAAGCTTGTCTTGGATCTTTTAATCTGATTAAATTCACATAGTTATTGCTAGGTATGTTCTATGTTTTTTAAGCAATTGAGTACTTTTTAAAGGAATTACGTGAAAATGTTTTTGTCGTTAGAAAATGCAAAAATAGTTCGATCTTTAATAAGGTATGTTCGGTCTTTCGTTGAGACAGATGCATTAACATAAAATGGTCCATCAGGAAATATCTAAAAATCATTTAGATAATATATACCCATAGATAATGTATATATTGTATAAAATGGAAACATAACAAGTGTTCATCAGGTAAACATGTATGAACCATCCTTTGGTTACTATAAAACTCTTACCTTATCAATACGAGTTACCATTTCGGGTCTTCGATTCTTTAAAATCCATACTTTACCATCCGAAAATATATATAGTTTACCGGATACTATAAATAAGCTGAATTAATAAGGACAAAGGAAGGAGAAATGAATAATTTGTATGTAAACTTTATCGAATTATCTTTCGGCAAAAGTTAGAGAACCATTTGAAATTATATTATCGGAGTGATAAATCAACGATGTCAACAGAATTATTTGCCTAACGTGAATCATTTGAGATATCAGTGAAATAGTATTGGTGATATCAAGTTGTGTTTCACATATCAATAATCTCTTATCTGGATTTGTTTTTCTTTTTTACAATAACTATTATATTTAGAGAAAATCTAATCCCTTTAAAAGCAGCATTGAAATGATTTCTGTTTGGAAAATTTCATCTAATCTGTGGTATACTTTATTTTTGAAAGTTAAAAATTTTCGATTCCCGAGATATTTCCCTCATTACAGTTTCATAATCCTACATGAATTATGCGTATACTAAGCTTAGAGAATCTGAGGAATTTTTTTTTTTCTAAGTGAGAATTTCCGGTTTTTTTTTTTTGCTTACCTTCAGTAACTGAATCAATTTTTTCCGGGCAGTTATAATTTTGAAATGTAACAATAGTAGTGCCATTCTTTCTAATATCTTGACAGTCTTTCTTGATAAAATTGCATTGTTTTACCGGTTTGGAGAGAATTCGAAACGGAAGACATGCTTCTGCTACGTAATAAGTGATAATGATTAATTGTAACAATTGAATAAACATCTGAAAAAGAGCTGATTAGAAAATGTGATAATATTGAAAGATCACAGTTTCATCCGTTAAGTTTATTAAAATCTTTCAATCATATGACCTGGATTAGATTAATATTACATCAAATCAAATAATCGATAAATATTGAAGATAAGAGTAATATGTTTGGGTACTTTTTTCTAATTATAATTTATTTTTTGCTTTATAGTTATAAATAGTTTACTTTGAAATGCTCTAATAACATAAAAATTGTTACAAAATATGGAACTTTTTTTTTCTTTGAAATTATTCAAAAAATTATTATTTTCAAATTTTTTATTGTTAAAATTTTTTTCCAATAATTTTTCACTGAAATAGAAATAAAATATGACAAAAAAACATTCATTTGTTTGAGTATATAATTTAAAAACAAAAACTATGCTATCAATAAAACCATTTGGTATTTTAATTAAATGGATCAATAGATAAAACTAACATGAATGTTAATTAAAAATTCGAAAGTTAATTGAGAAGAAAAAAAAAAAAAAAAGGAAAGGACCAATTGTCGTATATAATGGAAAATGAAGGAAATGAGAAATAAGAAAGCAAACGGTGTTATTTTTAGAAGAGCCAAGAAAAACTTGTTTTCTTCCATCACTATTGCTCTATCAATTAAATAATTCCAACAGAGTTCCTGAAAAAGATAATGTGAAATTATAAAATTCCTAATCATTTCCTACAGTTATCCTTTTTCCTTTTTTTTTTTTGAATATTTAAACTATTTCTATTAGTTACTGTTATTGTATTGTTGACAATTAATTTCATTTTCTAATTTCCATCATTGAAATGATACTGAATTGTTGAAATTATTTTAAATTTTGATCCAGATTTTTAATACAAATATAATTTCTAATATCCGAAAAGATGAAGTTTCTGGTGCAAAACTTCTAAACTTTCCTTAAAATTTCGGATAACTTGCAACATTTATCGATAACATTGTTTGCTGATTGATAACAAATGGAAAAAGTTTATATAAAATATTTCATACATTAGTGACATCAATGGAATGTTTGTTATGGAATGCATATAACTAGCATGATACGATCAGACAAACAATCAACAAACCATCAAATGTTAAAACATTAATTGTAACGATGATAATAGATGTGATGAAATTTTTGAAATTAAATACTGAAAAAGATGAAATAGAAAGAGGATAGCAAATAATGATAACTGCTTTTATCTTTGCTCTTTATTGACTTTATTCATATTATCATTTTATCACATTTGCAGTGTAAGTTCAAGCAAACTTAAATTCTCTTCTTTTTTTGGCACTAAAGTTAGCATTTTTAGTGTAGTTTTTAATGATCATCTCTATAAGTTGTCACAAGATTAATAATAAACAGCAGCTAATTCTGATAGCACTTACAATTTCCGGAAATTCATACCACTAGCTGTTTAACATATATTGATCAGTCGAAATCAGATGCAAACTGTAAAGTATGACCAAAGTTCAATATACTCACAAGGGATGAGTGAAATATTGAATGAAGTATAAGAAATTGAAACAGATACTTTATCATTATCTGTTCATTTATCTCTAAATTATCAACTATCAACAATAATAATAAATAAAACTATTAATAATATTAATAGTAATAAACTATCCTAAATTATGAAGAGTAATAATAAATACCTCGTTTACGATTGGTCCGTTCATGTATTTCCATGAATTTTTTGTATCAGAGTTATTCATTAAATATACTTAAAGGAATTATGTTAGGCTGATAGAGCAAGATACGTTGGATAATGTGACCAGAAGGTATTAATGGTAATTAATGAAGCGATCTAATATAACTGCACTCCAGATGAATGTTTTGATGACATTAAGATAGAAAAATTCTTTCTTAAAATAACTTTTACCAAAATGCTGAACAAAAATCTCAGCTATGCTTGCAGAAGGATATGGAGTACCACATCACACTGTGGATATAATATACCGAATAAGCTTTTAGTGATAAAAATAATTTTAATGATAAAAACAATAGGTCCCCATATCTGAAATCAAAAACCAATAACATTTCATGCACTCGAATTACAGTTAGCACATGTTTCTCAATGAATGAAAGAAACGATATATGATACCAATCATAGCTAGTTGTGGTAATAGATATCACTAACTGCAGATGGTGACAGTTGAACAGAATAATCAATATACGATCTCAATATAATTAAAATTCAATTCTGAGCCTTGAACGAATTTCTCTACTAGGCTTTTTTGTTGCGAATTCTTAAATTTATGCATCGGAAAAACATCTACCTAAAACAGTACTCCTAATCTTGGCGATTCCAACAGCAGCATTCTGTTTTGATTTTCTCAATAAGTTTCAATATATTTAAAATTTGTAAACGGAAAGCGATAAGATATGTTTAAAAATTCTCATTTTTTGGAAGGAGAAAACTATTAAGAAACTTCAGGTTTCATAAAATTTTACTCGTTCCACCATTGACAGAAATTCAGGATATAAATTTTCAGCTGGTGGGTAATCATTTTGAAACTGCTTCCCTAAACAAAAAAAAAAATACAACAATCTTCAACTTTATGCATCGGAAAAACATCTACCTGAAATAGTATTCCTGAAACAGTACCTGAATTATCTTTGCAAACAGTAAACAAAAATACCATCTTTGCATCATGTATTCCCAAAGAACACAGCATAAACATATTGCGGACATCATAATTTTAAATTTGCAGTAAAGTATTTTCAACAGCTAAATATGATACAAATACAATAACAGCCGAAAACTTCATAATTAGAAATCAAAAACAGTTGCATCCAGATCTACATCACTTTCTTCACCACTGATGTCCCGATGTTCTCGATTCTCACTCATCGAAGCACATTCACCAGTAGAACACCTAGAATTGTTGCAATTGTCTCGTGAGAGATTAAGAAATAAAGCTTAAAAAAGATATAACTTGGTTCGACACAAGTTCGAAACGAAGACTTGCCTATTATTGCTGACTGATGGTGACACTGCGTTCTTGTCATTCGTGACTGGAAAAAAAATGAAGCGAAATAATCATAACTGATGAGAGACGTTATTATTAAATAAGTAAACACAGAGCACCTAACTCAAAATTAATAAATTTCAACTAAATTAAAATATGAAACCTTTATTTTAACTTCGACAAATGGGAAGAAAAAAAACTCCTTTTTTTGCTCTGTGTTTATTAGTACTGGAAATTAGTTATTTCAACCTAATTTCTAGAGCGACATTCGAATTAAAAATCCATAAAAACAAGGAAAAATAAGTTGAATATTAGTTGACCTTTATTTCCCATCACTAAACTCTGGTCCGAATCTTCGTCATCTGATTCAAATTTGAAAGACGAAAAGCCTGGAAAAAGGAGGCATTACAATCTTAAGTAACAACTTGAAGACATTCTGCAGCAACAGAAAACTTCAATGAAAGGAAGTGGTATACGGTAAATGTAAGCTGAATATGAGGCAGCAAAATAGAAGTTTTAATGGCAAGGGATTAAACACATTTAGCAATATCACTTTCTATAGCACAAAATCTGTGACAGGAACAGAATTATTTTCACTGTTTTCACCCTTCCAATTATTGAAATGGAGAGAGATGTCTTTTTTTTTATAGTGTCCTTTTTCCTAAAGAAGTTGCTGACAAAAAATTTATATCATGGATACATATTTTTGAATCTGGATAAAACTATTCAGAAGTGCAAGCATACACTTATGCAAACAGATACAAAGATTATCTTTACATAATTCCTATGATGAAAAAAACACTTACAGTCATCTGCGGCGCTGGATCTATTCCTTAATGATGTATCCGTAAGCTGTCTCCCACTTATTCTTCTCATCGAGTTCAAATCAGGAGTTCTGGCGGAGAAAATAGGTTTACCATCTGGGACATTTTCAATTCGAAATTCCATTTTGTCCCTATCAGTTTTATTTGCTTTTATATGAGATGTTGTTTCAGGACTAGCAGCTACTGTAGTCGAACTTTCAACAAGCATTTCATTATCTGATTCTAAGATTGGAACGGTTGGATTTCTCACATTTACTTTTACTTCTCTGGATATGTCTGTTGTACAAATGCTTAAATCCAATTTATTTATTCCGCGTATTTTTCGATTGGGTACACTCAAGGAACCAGTAACGCACTGTGGTTTTCGGTGTTGCAAATCTTCCTTGTTCGAATAACATGGAATATTAATATCCAGAGATTCCAGCTTCTGCTCTTCCCCGGTTTCAGAACCATATAGAAGAAAGGCTGGTTGTAACCGTTGCTCCGTTGTTTGATTTTGTCTTTCTCGTCCATTATCTTTTTTTCTTGACTCAGTAATATCTGCTTTTTCCTTGCAACAGGGTAGCGTTTCATCCTTCTTCGCAGTAACCTCCTTTCTTTGCAGAGATATTGAATCAGGTAGAAATTTTCCTTCCGTAGTTGCTGAGGTGTATTTAGATGCTCCCAACAATAGTAATGGTCGTTTTCGACTCGTTGAAGGCCTGAAAATCAGGTGATTTAAAATTTTGTAAATATCAACGTTTGAAGTTGACACATTTGCGTTCTACTTCCCGGTGATGGTTCTGAACCAAATCATTCGACCCTGATTAATCGTAGCTAAAGAAGTGGAAGGAAATTCTTTCGAACTTTGAAAACTGAAATAAATATTTATATGCAAATTTAAAAAGCTTAATATTCAAATCGGATCTAAGATATTGATAATTTAGCGTTAAGCGTGCTTATAATTACTCGTAATCTTTATATCAATAGACCATACTTTCTAAGAGTTCATCAATGCCAAACATTGTACAAAAATCCGCAGAGTCTTACCTTATGTAACCAAATTTGTCTGTAGCGAATGAAAGTACACACATTAGTGATGGCACCGTTAGCTAAATTTTTCAAAATTTACAAATTTCAAGAGTAAGTCAGTAACTTACTGATCCCAAAAATCCGCCAACTTTAGAGTATCCTTATCAGGTGACAAAGCACCCACATCTCTTGAATTCTCACTATCCATCTTTCGACTGCTATCAGTTGCCTTATTGTTCTTTTTGCTTGCACCCTTCCGAGGCTGTCTTTTTCTAACCGGAAGTAATGAGCTTTCACCAATGCTTCGGATAAGCGAAAGCTTAAAATGCACAAAATGTGATATATTTACTAATCTCGATCATGAAAGTTATACGAAAGGTATAAAATGACCGAGAAAAATCGAGAAATATCTCGTTGAAAAAAAAAGGATTGACCATGTTTTCATTTCTTCGGAAAAGGAGCGTTAGATCCGAGATATTGACGATCGAACGCCTTCCATGCCTATAACAATGTTCAATACTTGCATTAGTTGACTACATCTTCAAAGACTTTGTCAATACTAAAAATTGCATAAAATACGCGAAATCTTACTTTGCGAACTGCAGGAGTTCACTGGGCCAGGTAAGACATAGGGTGTCACATATAGCAAAAGCCACTTGTGCGACTACTTCTTTTTCAAATTCCATTTCCTGACCTTTTTTCTCCAACTCTTCAACAACTTCGTCCTGTATAAGCATGCACGAATAATGGATAGCATCGATAATTTCTTGGTACTAAAAAAAGACATACAAATTATGAATATTTCCTATTCAACTTCTCCAATGTGACCTACCCATTTATGACCTTCTAGAAAAGATTCATATAATTTTGGCCAAACTTTTTCTATTTAATGCATTCATTAATTGGTGCATTAAATGAAAAAGTTAGGCTGGAATGTGTCCAGGAAATTACAATACTAAATGTCCAACTTAAGGATCTCACGTCTAAAATGTGCTGATCATAAAAAAATAGCTGTATGAGAAAGAATGGAACTGATCGGTCATCCGAACCACAAAAAAATCCATTTTATTTGCATGGAAAATGAAGAAAACGTCTGTAATTACTGTACATTATAGAGAATAGTCATAACTTATTGCCGTACATTTACATGTTATCCAACAATGAACAAAAACAACGATCGAATGAAAAAGGGAAAAATCACAGTATAGTAGAAAAACCTGGTAACAATTACAAAACAACTTTCAACTGTCGAACAGATCTCACCAAACTGCTAAATATAAAATGAAGAGCTACTTACCATATGTCAATTTTCAGTGTAACAAAACATATCGACTGCTGCTAATAACATTTATAAAGGTGCTATGGTGTGCATTCTGAGATGCTGAAAAGATTTTCTCTCAAGCATGCAGCACCGAAAGTTAGAAAATTTATTCCCTTTTCCTATAGTGGAAAGTATGATATGTATATAAGAAGGAAGAAAATTAGGTAAGTGGTAAAGCTAAGTGAAGTAATTATTCATTGAGATCAGTCGAATATTTAACCAAGGAATCGTTAACGACAAGACAGGGCCTTCGCACATAAGTCAAGACCTGAGTAATAATGTTAATAATGTTAAATGTAGACAAACAGACTCAACTACCTTTGTCAAATGACATTAAATAATTATGAACAAATAAATACTGGTTTTTATGACATCCGATCACTTTTTTTTAAAATTAGAAACATCGGAATTTCTAAGTGTATATTACAATGCCGCATCTTCAACTTAGAATAAATTTCCGCTTCATTTTCGATATGGAAGCTGACGTTCACACTTTGCCATCGTTTCCGTTCCTCGTATACAAGATCCAGAAATTCGCGAACAGTTCCACCTCTATCCGGTGCCACAACGTATGCGATCCCATCAGACTTCAAGTGTTTATAGATGCAATTCAATAAAATGCGATGCTCCTCCGTGAAAAACAAGCAATCAGCACATAGAATAGCATCAAATTGCTTATTTGGTATGGTAACATTCCAGGGTAGCACGAAGCAGGTAACATAATTGCTCAGCTTATTTATTTCAACGATTCGCCGTATATTTTCCACGGATTTCTCATTACCATCTGTTAAAACTACTTCCGCTGCACCAAGTGCAGCCGACGTAAGACCACTTAAGCCAGCCATACCGGATCCAAGTTCCAGGATAGTTTTGCTTCGAACCAGCTTTTCATGTTTTAGCAAATAATACGCCAAACATTCTTCGGATGGCCATATTCTGATATTTCCGCTATTGTTAAAGCCAATCAAAATATTGGGTGTTATAGTAACAGTTGAATAGATGTGGACATCGAACTCAACATTGCCGACAGGAGATTTCAAGTGATACCAACGACCTACGTTGGAATGTTTTGGGATGAAAAATGCTTCAAAGACAAGAAACATTGTTTCCACATCAATCGTAATACCTCTGGCTCGTTTTCTGTAGTTGCATCGTACGTGATATGAAAGTAAATTCCAACGTTGTCGAGCTTTGGAAACTTTCGCTTCGGACAATGGTTTCTAATAAATAGTACGAAGGATATCACAAACACTAGCAGGATAATCATTAAGTCTACCTAGATTTATATGGAGCCCGACTTTTTCTACCAATAATTCTTTTACTAGGTACTAGGTGCCACAATGATCACTGTGATTGCGGAAAAACTTATTTGTCCTTATGAGCGCAAAAATGTATCGATAGCTGTGGATGCAAAAAGTTTGTACTCATTGTCTTGATACAGAAAATGTCCTAACCCATTTCTTGAAATACTGAACAAAATCTCCCTAATGTCAATAAATATATACCACCGCATGGTGAAGTGTGAGGTAAACCTAGGCACATTAATCTACATCTCAAAAGACAATAATAATACTTCAATCCTAACCACACAAATATCCCAAAATTCTAACAATGATTTACTTCGTGTTTCGAAACCTCCCCCTTTGGTGGCTTCTCTTTTTCTTCCTTTGATCGTTTGCTGGGTATCACTGTTAAATCTTCTTCATCAATCATGGATAGTTTACCATTCCCATCTTCTCCGTCAAAATCGATATCATCCATTACATACACATTTTCTGAACAAAATGTCTATTATAAATTAATCAGCGCATTCCATTAAAGAATTCTGGTATTTGAAAAGTTAATACCTGATCCTATCTCTGGGGATACTCAACAACTACTGGATACCCGAAATGTATGTGATGACACTATTACTATTCCATCTTATTGCTAAATATTTTACTTACTAATAAATACAAATAATTCACCGGGAAATCAATATTTTTTGAAATTTGTTGCGAAATTTAATATTTTTTAAAGTTTTAATTAACTTTAACTCATCATTATTATCCACTATAGTGTCGTTCGAAATCTGGGAAAGAAAACAACGCAATTATGACGCTACCATCTGTAACATTAGATAGAGGCTAAACAATGACAGATATAAAGCTTCGGAAATAACTAGAAATAATATATCGATTAGCAAAAAACTAGATGAAAGAATAAAGTAAACTAAGAAATAATTAGTAACAGTGATAAAAGATTTTCACCTCCACTGATCATAAACAATATTAGGATTATTAGAATAACTAATAAAATAATTAGCAAATTTTCTGATAAAATAAATTACTACCAAGGATTACTGTTGCATTTAGTCGAGCTTATCTCCTTTTACCTTCCCCTCTTCCTTACCAACCTAACTAGCCAACTTTCAAAACAATACAGACTGCGCGTTGGCCTGTTGAAACTTTACTTCAGGTCACTTTGTTGCTTCCATATCCCACCTCATTTATTGAGATTTGAAAGAAACTAGAATTTTATGACGTTTACAACGCATTCAGATCCCACATTCGCACGATGCCTACGACATATCCTGAATTCTATATCCCCATGATGTATACGGTATCTCCTGAATTCTATATCCCCATGATGTATACGGTACGTTTTGATTCTATATCTCTATGATGCCTATGATATACCTGATTTCATATCCCATGACGTCTATGGTATCGTTTGATTCCATATTGTAAAATATTTCTTAACTACTTTAACTTAGATTTTATTTTACTCATCTTGACATATTCTTAATCATATTCTAATGTATATTCAAGTCTATGTTATAGCCATTTTGGTATATTCAGATTTCATATCCTAATATCCTAATTACTGCAATGAATAAGAGACAGCTTTTAGCATATTTTAATTCCAAATCTTTTTCATACTTCTACAAATTTCACACTATTGCAATATGTTGGAGTTCATATTTTTTTTCTTGATTTAAATGCCTTATATGAAAAAGTACGTATTTTAGAAATTTAACAGTTTTTGTAATTGGAATACCATTAAACGGTCGTTCATTATAATCTGGCAATGAGTTCTGATATCCGATCAGTACCTCTGGGCACGTCATATTCTGAGGATTCCTTAACCGATTCATCAAAGGCATCTATTTTTTTTCCATTCTTTTGTTATTTACAACAAAAATCCTCTTTTGTCATCTTCCTTTCTCTGTTTCTTCATGTTTCTGGTTAATATGTTTATAACTCATACCTATTAGCACAGTTAAGATTGAATTATTGCAATTTATAAAACTATATGGAAATGGATAATTTCGATGTACTTTAATTTATTGTATTATTTTATTGCTAAAAAATCTAATAGGGTTGGTCAAGTCCATTCAGTATTTCACAGTGTAAATATGATAGTCCGGAGACCGGCATCATCGGAACATCTGAAAGTCCAACAACAGAGTACAGTGATAGAAACGAAAAGTGTCAAGCTATTGCTGGATCGATGATTGCCATGGATACCATAAAAGCATCCAGTCTTCTTGTTAGTTCGCTTGAATCGTGATTTGATAGAGTAATGAAACTCATTTCATTTTTAAACTGTTTTTATGAGGAAGTTATGTTCGCTCACAAATAGCTAAAGTTTACTGATATGCTGTTATTGAAAATATGTAATAGAAAATAACGTACTTTAGTAACAGGTAGAGCATAACCTGGGAAAAGTTGAGAGAATGATTATTTCATCTCGAAAACAACCGAATCATGCTGGCCAAATTATCACTAATCTCTTGCCAGGTTGAAGTTTTCTCATAAAATTGACAACAAATCGTTGATATGTATAACGAAACATATACATCAAAAGTGATTTTTATTAATACAAGCAGCTCACAAATTTGCAAGCAGATCAGCATTACAAATTACACAAATCTTTCAGATGACAATACACAAATGACCAGCCAGTCATCGATGTTATGGACTGAGAAATCAGTAAAAACATGGTAAATTTCAAGAATCCTTCCTTCTCTTTCTACCGAAATATAATCGAAAAGCTAACGGACTGCACTACATGATCGAACAGCCGTTATAGGTTTCATATTATTATCCATTTGACTTTTGGAATTTAAATATAAAAGTTAAGCATTCCAACAAACCATACAACTTCGTCAACAACGTCAGGAGAAGGATTTTTTGAACGAGATCATGACTTATCAGAATGGTCAAATGGTGATGCTATCAAATATTGTTAACCAATCTCCTCCATCGCTCTTTTTTCTTTTACCAAACTCGAAATAGGTTGTTGAGTTTTCGACACCACAATTTAACATCAACCAGAACATTGTAACCACGTGTTCATCCTGATGTTATTCAAATTCCGAATTTTTCAAATTTCGTGGTAACCACGTGTTCATTCTGATGTTATTGAAATTTAGTAAAATTTTCGACTTTTTGAAGTTTCTAAAAAGACAAACATTATAAAACGCTGAACAACGAAATTTCCAAAACCGAAAATATTAAAGCTGAGGAAAATCATGATGTTGAAGTGAAGCCATCGAATCAAATAAAACAGCAGGAAATAGCAAGCAGGAATGGTCCATGTGATATTCATGTTAAGGTAACCACATGTTCATCCATTCAACCACTTGCGTTTCTCGAAACGAAAATCAAATTTCTTTTCAAGAATACTTACCTAAATATCTATGAAACCAAATTTCAATGCAGATATATTTACTGAATTATCCATTCACATTAAAGAATCACTCCTACTCCTTCTAACTTCTTATTATTTAGAATCACTATATCATCTGCTACAAGGAATTCCACACAATTCCTATTCCATCTCAAAAACAACATCATATAGCATGGCTTAAGTTTTATTTAAGTCTGTATCACAAGATCACCATATATTGTATTGCAGGCAAGTAGATGTATCGACTTAGCACTGCAAGCATCCACACCGATCACGTTCATTCTTACAGGCATCACGACTTCACGTGAAATACGTATAAGAAAATTATTTGTTAATGGACAAAAATACGTTTTCGTGTAATTGGCAATAAGTGATATTTGTATAAAATATAATTACTCATATTTGTGTCTAATTTTTCCATATTCTAACCTGATCAAAAACAGCGTAAGCAAGCCATGTCATCAATCTTGTATTGTCAAAAAAAAAAAAAACACTTGTAAGATTACAAATGAAAAAATATACGATACGTCAGTATACGTCAGAGTTGCGCTGTACAATTACTCGGAAAATAATAATGTAATGTGCTAGGAGCATGTACGATGAAACGTTAATGCTCACGTAATCACGTCATAGTAAGACGTTTCGAACGTGTGAAGATGGTGAAAGAGAGCGTATATCATCGTTAATTGGTGAGGAAGTGAAGAGTGTGCAAGAAGACAGCAGTTGAAGAAATAGCGTATGCTATCGATGCAACTGAGGAGGTTAAAGTGTTGCGAAATACGATTGATTTATTTTTCAAATTACTTTTTGAAACGTTTATATCGGCTTAGTAACTGTTTTTCTTTTTAAACATTCTTAGGTAGCTAATTGTTTACGTCTTGTATGACCTGAATTAAAGCATTTTACGTGAATGACACGTGACAGGAGAGCAAATATACTATAGGAAGAAGGAAAGGAGCTTGTTAAGGAAAATACCTGCAGCTGTTCGTTTTGGGAAATTTTTTTGGGAATAATGATTTGATTTTCCTATCTAAATTAAATAAATAATTAATTTCCTTTTCCACTCATATCAAATAAGTAATTATGCATATCCTTACATCACGTAAATCTATATGTGCATTTCTCGTAATCTGTCCACATATTTTGATTGTTTCATCCGTCAATATCATTGCAATCAGCTTAGGTAACCGCTTGTTTCGTCTAAGTGTTCGCGTTACCCAAACATTCTATTTGCAATTGTTAACAAAGTTATATACCAAACTTGTCGAGCTTTTGGGTCAGAAGTTATAAAGAGAATTTGTTGGAAGAATAACTGGATTTGTCACAAAATGATTCAGGACAAAATTCACTAAGTAATCAGAAAGCATCTTTATTTTTCTGATTGTAAGTTCATTTTCTAACAGATGTTCTTATTTGTTTTTGCTAATCAGGGAGCGAATTGTTTATGATTCCAATTAGAATCTTTTCAGTTAATCTTGCCTTACCTTCATTCAGTAAGTTGCAGACCGGTTTTTGCTTTTCGAGATCACTTTTTACTCCTGATTTCCAGTATTTGAGAACAGTCACTTGGAAGATATCGGTTTGTACAAAATGCATCAACTTGATGCACGGACATACCCCAGCAGCACTTTCTATCTATATGTGTTGACAATGTCATCACGATCGATAATTCATGCTGTATTCTCTCCACATGTGTTGCTGTCATAAATAAAGTGACAGTTGAAGAACTATTTTAAGGTAACGAAATTTAAAAGTAGCTTACTCCATTAGCAAAGTAGTCAATAGATGAGTGCGCATTTGCGTTTTTTTTTACATATAGTTGAGCACGGGTAATTTTTGTTTCCAGTGGATATCGCACAATAGATAGAGAGTTTTTCCGGTGCTACACGTGATCAGAGAAAGTTGTGCATGTATGAATAATTACATTTCATGCAGGCAACTTCAATGATAATTATGCAAAAACGATCCTGTTGACGAGGTAAAGACATAATACCCGCTGGAACCTGTAGTCCGGACGATTGTAATGCTAAATCAATATATTCTTGCGCCTATAGTACACATAATATTTGGTAGCGAGCTTCATGTATATATTATTGATTAGTGGGTATGGAGTCATGATTGGGTGGAATTTCGTTTAGTAGGTAATAGAGTTAAACGTTTATGAAGTTAGAGGATGATACTATTAAACGGGAAAACGATTATAAGTTGTGAAAGGATAAAAAGATAAATCTTTAAGGGTGCGGTGCCACAGAGATGGTTATTTTAGAATACGCATTTTTGTGTTCGAGAAATACGGATACATGCATTGTAATACTCTGCTTTTTGCTTTTTTTTTTTCGGTGAAAAACGCGGAACATTTGGAATTTAAGAAGGTCAAGATAGAGCGGCTTATCGCGCATTATGTACATCCCGGAATGCAGTATACATGCACCATTGTCTTGTTAGTGTTGCATCATTCAGGGCTTTTTTGTTGTCTTTGTTGATGAATGGTAACATGTGACGGAGAGGATCGATTATACATTTTGTATTGATAGTGAAATGAGGTAGACAGTGCACGTCTTTTCAAGTCTTTGCTTTTGGTTACTTTATGCATTGGTTATGAGATTGGATGATCCTTTTTTTGGAAAAATTTTGGAGGACATTTCCTTCCATGTTATCATCTATCTAACTGCCATGGTTTTCTGACTTGTATTCTGTGTATGCCACCGCTGAAAGATACGCTAAATGATCCGATTGTTTTAGTGACTCCCACAAAGTGATAGTCCATGTTTCATCGATGGTTGAATTGTTTTAGACTTTTATAAGAATTTGGACTAATGCCATCACTTGGTCGGAAACAGTTCAAACCATCACCATGTCCAACTGATCTGAAACCTGATGATAAAGTGTTTCATCTTCCACTTACCAATGAAATTTTCACATCATATGAGTAAGTTTTTCTCTTCATTTGCCTTCATTTAGTGGTAGATACATCGTACGATATTAGGCACTGTCTATATCACATTTGTCATTATGATATTCTAGTTTTGCCTGAATCGTGAATTTTTGCCGAGCTCTCTGATCGTTTTTTGAATGAAACTGAAGTTTGAAGGTTTAGGAATTTTTCGATATCTTGAAAATCTCTCTTAGGAACTAAGCGTTTTTTTAATGATATTTGTTGTTTTCAGCGACTTCTTTCAACGACAAATCGCTCTTAGTTCTATGGTTTGGACATGTTCCGTAACTGGAAAAACGGGTTTGACATTTGAGGAAGCTCTTGATTCCGAAAGGAATGCGCAGGTAAGGCATTGCTTCATACAACTGTTTAATTTGGAGGTAATAACAGTAATATAAAGGATGTAATCATTTCACTGCATAATTTCTTCTAAGTAAAGATATTTGTAATTGAAATTTATCAATTAATTTTCGAAATTTGAAGTTAATTTTCGAGTTAAAAAAGGGCTTAGTAATTTTTCATTACATAAAGTGTGATTTCTTCCCAAGAATCGACTCCTACCAAATTAATGAGGAGCTTTTCAGGAAACACTGAAAACTTATCCGTCCTCTTTTGCAAGGCCTATTCTTTATCTTGTATACAAATTATCATGTCGTGGACGAATCGAGGATTTGGTGAACGATATTTACTTTTTTGTGAAAGACCACTTTTTGCTGGGCGAAGAAGTTACATACGGCGGTGGACGTGGTCGAAAAGATGTTATAATAAGAAAAGTGACGTATATTGATGTGGAAAATGATGTCGTCACAAATCAGCATAATGATGTGAAGAAACCAGCTATTTTGTGGGTTATTTTAATTAATTGATTTATAGTTTAAATTCTGTTGAAATGCTCGAGATCCGTTTTTTTTTTTTTTAATTCAAAGTTAGCATCATGCATAGTTTTATGGTAAAACAACTTGTGAGACTATTAACGTTGAACTTTGAGTATAATCATCCTTTTCAAGTGTGAAAAGAGGAGAGCTGCTGATACCACCAGCAGAGCGCTACATGTACGATGTTCTAATACTAGACAAGCATAACGGGAATGCTAACAATAAAGTACGCGAACGAGTCGGTCATCAAGATCTGCTGTAATTTTTTTTTTTTTGAATCCTTTTCAGTCGATTGTCTTTTTAAGTTTCAGCTTTGTTTTTACGAAACCAAAACCAAAATTTTTGTCCAACTTATTTCATACTATCTGTTATTTCATATCACTTAAAATTTTCCAGACGAAGCAAATCTCTATGGGCTCGGAATATGATACGCGTATTCCTGAAAAATTCTTGTACAACAGATCACGAACGTCTGACCGTAAAAGTAAGCTTTCGAATTTAAATTAACTGCTGGTATTTGGTCATTGATTTTGCAAGTATTTCATGCATCTAATTTCATTATCAACATATTCCATAGTACGTTTGTGTAAAATAATTTTTACCCGAACAGCTTATTGCTACTGATATTTCGTTATAGATGCTGAATCATATTCCATACTTGATTACATTGACTTTAGGCTGTGAATCAAGAGGGAATTTCAAAGAAAACTGTGTAGAATTTTTGTTAAAATAAGTTAATGTTCGATTTATATATTTAATAAACGTGAATGAAATTCTATCTTTTCTTTGAAATTATAGTTTCAATTTGCTGACCTTGCTGACAAAGTCAATTTTTTCAGAAAGAATTGCTAGAAAATTTTCAACTGGAAAGTATGTCTTGGAATGAAGTATTTGCTGGACCGATTGCACAGTTTCCGCGGACACCTTTAATGCATCGTGGACCAAATAAAGGAGTTTCCCGTCCACCTCGCAACCACCTAGGTGCATTTCCCAAACTAACTATTTAATCAAACTTGTAACTAGCTATTTAATCAAGCTTCTGAACTGCACATTGGAATGATATTCTCTTTTCAATTTCCATCGTATTTTAGATGGCCATCCTATTGATGATCTAGATATGCAGTCAACATCGGATGCCGACTTTGCTGACATTATGGAAAAAGATAAGATACATGCACGATCGAAGAAGGCATCTCTAGAGAAGGATAAAAAGGAAAACGACAAGAAAGAAGAGGGTGGCAGGAGGACGAAGAAGAAAAAAGCGGTATAATTTGTTTTAGGTTTCAGTTTCGAATTTTCAATTCTGCATATTGCACTTTGTAGTTTCTAAACTTTGGTGGTTGTACGAAAAATAAAATTTAGATTGCCGAGCAGCAGGAAGAATTGGAAAGTCTTTTTGAACAAGCACGAAAAGTAAATATCGAAAATCTCTCCCACTGGGAACAGGATGAACGTCTGTTATCTGAAACTGAAATTGTTGAATTGAAGCAGTTAATCCGGCAGACTAAACAAAAGGTTTGGTTATAGTCAAATTGATTTTCTTTTGAAAAAAGTTAATGGCAAATTTCCAACCATTTTTTTTTTTACCTCAATATGCTTCTTATTTATAATTTGCCCACTGGTCATCAAAAATTTGTTCATGTTACTTTTAGTCTGGTATCAATGGATGCTCAAATTCTAGCTTGTATAGGCTCTACTAGAACTTTCATCGTCCAATGTAAATTTGCAGAGCAGATTTTTTCACCCACTACTGTATTATCATCATGATATTGCATACTTTAGGAACGTCAGGAAAAACGTTTGAATAAACAACGGGCAAAGGAAATGTTACTGGAATGGAAAAAACCGAGAGATGATATCCTTTGTGACGACCTCCGAGTAAAATTTACTTTATTGTATTTTTTTTCCGAGAATTCCCAAACGAAAGAGTCAACTTTTGTAATTTTAGTGTTGTGTTATTGATTGCTTTGCTATGGATCAGTTATTTCGTAATTTCCTTTTCTCTGCTTTTCTAATGTGGTTTTGCAAATTTGACAACATTAAATTATTGTCGATTTTTTAGCCCTTACCTCAATTGACACCTCTTCTACTTCCTCTATGGATGTCCGACGACGATTTTGGCGATTATTTATACATTTTTGAATTCTTCCAAAGTTTTGCGGAATTGTTACCAATTAAAGAAGTATGTTTTTTGTGTGTTGGTGATCGCTTACTCTGTTTTAGTGATTTGCAGTCACTTTGTCACACTTTTCAAATCGACTCTTTCAGGTCCGTGGCATTAATCAGGTCAAGTTTGGTGAAATTATATCAGCTGTAAGAAGTCGAACCCCAGAGCAAGATAGCTTATTTGTTCAACTGATGCACATTTTGTTGAAAGCCAAAGCTGAACGAGCTGATGAAGAAGATGGTGATGAAGGTAGACCTTCTCGTAACTTTGAATACTATGCATTTCATATTTCAGTACGAAATATTTCAGTACAATTTTATCGGATTTCTCAATTTTTTCTTTTTTTTATAATATAAAGCAGTAAGCGCTTTGGTTTCATTTCATAACGTTTTATCTTGGTCAGCAACGTCACCTATTGATTGGCTACGCTTGACTTTTACTTCAAATTCGGCTTGCTCATGCAGAGCACTTTCTCTTCTTTGATGCTGGAGGGAGATCAATTTGAATTACTGTTGTTTTGTAATATCCCTTCGTTTGCTTAATGTTAATCTCATTCGATTTTTTTATTCTGACGATGTGTTTTATCGAAATATGTATAATATTATAATTTATTTTTGTAATCCTTCACTAATCAGATTATCCGAAGTTAGTGGTATAATGACCAAAATTGAGGTCGAATTCATTATCATTTCAGAAACATATCAGTTTTGTTACTTTTAGTTAACCTGAGTAACAAAGAAGAAATACCAGTAGATGCAAATGATATCGACCACAAAATATATGGTCCAGAAATTCGTCAAGCGACAGTCTTTCATGAGAATATTCGACTTACACATGGCAAGTAGTAGTGGTTATAGTTCAGCAAATTAGTTTTTCAGATATTCTGGACATTTTATCTTCCAGCACTTGAAAATTTTTCGCTTTAAGGTGAGAAAATTTCAGGATTAAGTGCACGGCATCTGCCGATCGACTGGATGACTCTGACGGAAGTAATGCGATTATCACTGATGACATCAGGGTATTATACAGGAGCTCCTACCCATCGATTTCGGTTATTTTCAAGAGGGGCTATTCGTTGCTATGAAGATGAAGGGTTTTTGTTTGCCAAAGATAATCCTCAAATTATGAGTGTTTTAGAAAAGGTTATTGATTTTTTATGTTCCATATTTGAAACTCGAAGAAGAGAGTACTGATTAATTCTTTTCGAAAGTCAGCATGAGATCTGAAAATATCTTTAAAGAAAAGTGATATAATTTAAAGCGCTGTACTTCATGTTCTGGCATTGTTTACTTGAAATCTTAAGACATTAATAATTTTTTATGCACTTGCTGACTAATGGAAACATCGAACAAATGTTTAAATAGTAGATTTTGTTATTGCTGCTTGTGCTATTTTTTATATGAACGGTGAAAAAATAATTCCAGAAATCGGTATTTGATCTCCAACCTTATGAACGCATAGCGTTATTCAAAGTGGTGATACAGCAGTTACTTAGTTATCATAAATTTCGTTCCACATCTGATGAACGTATTATTTCCCTTCTTGATGTACGCAAAGAGTTGAAAAACCTTCGAAATTTCGATGCTACGCAGGTTTCATTATACTGTTTCCATTTCAGCGATATCGCTTTTGTTTAAAAAGCTTTCGAAAGTAATGGTACTATACTCGTCAGATTGTTATGAATCACATCTAATGTGGGTATGAACACACTGATAAGAATTTTTAAATGAGGGATTATTGAATAGTTTATCGGCGAGCTCAGTGGGGATTCTTCAGGAAAAGGAAGCTCGAGAGGCTTCTTTGGTTCGAGAATATGAAGCAGAGCAATTAGAGGAACTTGGAGAAGCGGCTAGGGCGGATTTTGCCAAAAAAGAAGAACCTTCTAAGGAAACGACTATGTTAATTAATTTTGTGAAAGGTGGAAGCTTCATTGGGAGACGAGAGGAGCGACTGAGGGAAGTCGAGCAGGTGTTTTATGAATTTTTTTGGAATTTTGTCGTTATTTTAAAACTTGAAATTTGATCTGGAAGTTTCTCTGTTAAAAATCTCAAAAATTTCGCAAATTTTTTCACTCTTCCCCCTCCATTCCGATTTCCTCTGATGTGTTTTATACTGAAAGTACTTACAAATAGATTTGATCATAAACTTTACTTTCCAGATACTTATGAAAGGAGTTTCATACGCCGAAATGGAAGCTGACGAAATAAAAAAAATTCGTTCATTGCAAGTGGAACACATAACTGCTGCAGAGAATGATTTGCTGAAACTGATTTACAAAATACAAAGTAAATATGTAGCTGATTTTGTTTACAAATCACCACTATGTTGTAGGCAGTGATGGAGTAAGCTAAAATTTTGTAAAGGAATGTATTGATCGATACCAGTACAGCAGTACAACAGTTGTGGTTGCTTAAAAAGAGGGCATTTTCAAAGTTGGTTGCTCATTGCCGCCAGCGGTAGTAGTATAGCCATTGTGACAAAACTCATCTTAAATTCGAAATTTTTGCTTCTATTGATTAATGTCCTTAGGTCGCGTTGGTTGGCATTGTCTTGGCCGTGATCGAGGATTTCGTACATATTGGTTCTTCAATTCACTGCCATTGATTCTGGTAGAAAATACTAATTCGACGGATGAACGAGGTCCTTGCCTTGGACCAACACCGCTAGATAAGGTGAACTTTCTAAACTTTTTTTTCAATTTTTTAATTTTCATTCTATGGAATTTACGGTTTAAATGCTATAGTTTTTATAGCACTTAAATTTCACTGCATGAAATTTACAGATAATTTTTGAATTTTGGTGGCTTTAGGTTGATGATAAATATCGTCAGTCGTGCGGAAGTGATGATGAGGTGCGGAAAGATCTTTTGAGCTGTACAGCTACTGAAGACTGCCCAGTGCATGGGAAGTTCCACCGTTCCCGATGGCAATTAATCAAAAGCATGGATGTCCTTAATGAAGTTAGCTCTCTCTAATATTTTATTTTCGGAATTTCGTATTTGTTAGTTTTTTACAGCATTTAAATTCCAGATTGAATCCGCGTGTAACAGTCGTGGCTTTCGGGAATCTGAACTTTTAGAAAATTTGAAGTTCTTCAGCCCTTTATTGAAAAGCATACTTGGTCGATGCTCAGAAAAGGTAAAGTTTTTGCTGTCGCAATTAATTTTGCAAAGGAATTGCTTTCTGGCTATCAGAACAAGTGATAAGCATAAGATTGTGCAGTTGTAATTAATAGCAAGTCCAATATGAGGTTTTTTTGGTAAATAAAAATTATTGATTGAATTCCAGATCAGTTCCGGTGAAATTTATACAGACCTTTTGTTGACGGATATTGACTTGGTAGATAACTCCGTGACATTCGATTGGAATCGTGAATTTATCGATATGCTTTTGGATTTAGAAGAAAAGGTAATTTGCAAGTAATTTTATATAAAATTTATGGCTTCAGTATTGAATGCGGTCACATACAGTAAAGAATGGTAAACCTGACGGCTGATCACTTTAGATTCTAAATTACATAAAATCTACCAGTTGTATTGAATGCAAAAAATTTTATGGTTTCCTTAAGACAGAAAGCATCATGCTTACATTGATTTACTAAATAGGACGGAAGATGTTTTTCTGGTTGAAAAAATTTGGTTTCATTTGGCGTGTTGTGTTTCTTCGTGATTAGTTATTGACTTTATGATTGTTCCTGCCGTTTTGCTGTAGTTCTGTTGTGTTTCTTCGTGATTAGTTATTGACTTTATGATTGTTCCTGCCGTTTTGCTGTAGTTCCAAGGAAGCACTTTTTTCAGGTTGAGCAAGGGTGCATTGGTCATTTAGCTATCAGTGATATTCGTCGCAGGGAAGAGTGGCGTGAGTCACTACTTCAGAAGCGCAATGTTACTTCTTTTGTTGAAAGTAATGTTTCACTAAAAAGAAGCTAATTGCAAGGAAGATAGATATCTGCTCTTTCCTCTCTCTCTCATAGGGCATTCTTGTTCCTTGTTTTTTTATAAGTTGTAAATGCGAATTGTAAAATATTATTCACAGTCTTTAAATTACCTGTGCAATGGGCGAAAACGGATTATTTTTCCTGGGATAAAAAATTGTGATAAAAACTTTTATTGTTCATTCCTTACTGAAGTTTTTGATAGGTGCTACTGAAATTTGGTTTTTCTAGTTTGTCTAAAATTATCTGCATTTCCAGTCGCTATATTTACCTTAACTATCTTGATTCTTTGATTTGAAGATTCTTCATTCGTATTTTGTTTTTGTTGTAGGGGATGTGGAAGTTTTCGGAGAAACAGTGTTCACGATTGATGAAGTGAAGTCACTGAATGAATTGGAACATCTAGCTGTTGCATTTTTGCAAATTGTTCAGGGAATTAACCTGAAATTTTTACGGCTCCCTTTTGCTACTGCCTCTTCGAAAGAAAAAGATTGCGCGAATATTCCCACGACTACTTTTGATCAGTGGCAAAAATCATTATTAAAATGCTGCTCTGTATCGGCTTTATCACTGTACTACACAACTTTAGAGTCTTCCATCTTATGGACGAGAAGTCGGCTTCAAGTATGGCATTGAAATTTACTCAGAAATCAACTGCTTATTCTGCCTTATGAACTTCTTTGTAAAAGTCTTCAAATTTTTGAACTGAATAGTTTTAAGAAAATATCTAATTGAATAATGTAAAAGTTTAAGGCAAGATGTCGGAAGTGCCGTAAGAGAGGCGAAACTGAAAAACTATGCATGTGTGCACGTTGTGATCGATGTTATCACATTGATTGCGCTAAGCCAAAAATCAAGGTATGTTGTAAAGTGGGGTCTTCCTTTTCCCGGTTTTAATGTGCGCGCGACATAGTGTATCAGAGTATCCTTAATTTGAGCTGATGAATTTCAGGATCCTAATGGTTGGATGTGCTCTGATTGCAAAGCTCTGGTAAAAGCGCAGGAAGCCGAAGAGAAATGGAAAAGGCAGCAAACCATGAAAAAGGAAGGTTGGTTTAGATACTCTTAAAATGATGTGATGCTTATAATATTAAACAGATTTTAATTATAATCCAATTGTTGTTTAATGTGAATATGGAAATTTCAGATGAGATTTAGTTTTTTTAGAAGAAGAGGAACAAAGTTTTAGCCGAGGAAGCGATGATTCCTGTGGTACGTCTGCAGATGAATTTGCCGAACAACCACTCGTTGAAGAAGAGTGTGTTTTACCCTTAGATTCTCATTTACCTATTTGTAGATTTTCAAATTATAACTCAAAATTTGTATCAATTTCTGATTTCTCTTGTCATATTCCTTTTCAGATTCGAACTTCCATCAGATATGCTGAAAACGTCAAGCGGGCGTATTGTGAAGAAGGTCAGTACTATTCTGCATATTTCATATAGATTGTTTGTGTAATGTAGTCTCCTAATTGAAATGATTCTTCAGGTAACTTATGCCGATGAATCGTTCGAAGAGATAAGGAGAAGCGTGCGGAAGAAGAATATTGTTGATGGTGAAAGTGATGAGGGTGGTAGCACTAGTGAGAGTGAATATTCATATGCAAAACAAAAACGGCCCAGTAAGTTTGCATGGAGGGATGATTTTTTAGACCTTTGCGGAAACCTTAATCACAATTTGACCGTTGAAAATTTCAATATACCACATTTCTAGGTAGAAGTGGTGAACGGGCACTAGGAAATCTAACAATTAGCTTGCGTGAAACAGATAATCGAGTGCGAAACACATTACGTGCTTTCGAGTTATTGATAAGTGAAGCAATGCGACAGCAAATTGCTTGGCCTTTTCTAAAACCAGTGGATGCCAAGACTGTACCCGATTACTACCAGGTAATTTTTTAATATCCAGTTCTTTTTCATGTATATGAAAAGTCTAACCATGTAATTTTACTTCTCTAGAATAATTACCAGATCAGAAGCTGAACATCCTCATGAAAACTTGAGCATCCTTTCCCGAAAGTGGTTCACATTTTGAGCTTAATCGCTTACTATCCATCCTGTAGTCAAGCTATTAATAAAAAGAAAGAAAGAATTAAAATCCTTTAATATTTTTCTAGATTATCAAAAGGCCGATGGATTTGCGTACAATAATGAACAAACTAAAGCAACGACTATACGATACGCCCGATCAAGTAATAGCGGATGCACGGTTGATTTTCGAAAACTGTCGTATTTACAACGAAGAAGAGTCCGAAATTTGTAAGGTATGCGAGCGAATATTTTAGCTCTTTATCATCAATGCATACTATGCTGAATCCATTTTTTTTTCCCCTCTTTTTCGCTCAAAGTGCAATAAATTATCACTTATTTGTATTTGTAAGTTATGTGGTTCAGTATTAATTCTTCTGGAAGTTACGGTAGCGTTAAGTGTACTTGGCTTACAATTATTAAACATAATGATATTTTCAAAAGTTTCACACTCAGAACTGGAATTGATTAATCCAACAATATATTGTTAATGCTATACCAGGAAAGGCATTCATGTCGAACCATTTTCACTCGATTATTCAAAATAATGATTACTTCATACAAGACATAATCTTGTATGGCTTCTTATGGTGTAAAAATCTTATGCAGCTTTAAAATATGTGTGTATGTTTCCAGTGTGCTACCAAATTGGAAGAGTTTATGGAAGAACGATTTAGCAAAGTACTGCAGGCAAATGCAGTCCGAACGCGAAGTGGATGTTAACGAATGAGAGAAGTCTCAAAAAGCTTCACTCTGTTTCTGTTAATTCCTTTGGTGCCGGGAACCGTGTTTAGGTTGCACTGGAAGTTCATCAGTTACCATGCTGCAGTCTCGAGTCTTCTATGATTAATTTTGGTCATACAATATTTCCAAGATTCCTTTACTGATTACATTAAGTTTGTTAACATTCAGTACTGAATAGAATTATAGCCTTATCGTGAAAATGTCGTTAAAAAAGTTGGAATTATCGTAAAAAATACAAGCTACAAAAAGAAAAAAAATACAAAGATACAAACATATAGCGATGCTATAAAAATGTCGATGTCTATGATGGGACCATCGATTGATTTTGAGGTCTCGAAGATGAAACTGTAATTTTGTTGACTATCCTGACACAGTTTCAGTCATATTTTAGCCGTACAGATCTTCTTCTTGCTTTAGAAAGCATTTTGTTATGTTATTTTATCATTGTTAAAATATTGAGCAAATTGTAACAATTGTTCCAACCGTATAAAACTACTGCAATGTATACATTTGGTGTCCGGTATTTGTGTTGATAACGGAATGGAAGGAACAATTGTTTTTTCCGGTGCGTTTAGTCAGAAGTATGAAATTCGTTTGTCAAGCAAATATTTGCCAAATAAATGAGAACTGTCCGACGTAGTGATATGTGTTTGCTTTGTTTGACAATATTTCTGATCATTTCGATGACGTAGATGGTCTATGTTAGGCAGGGTACAAAACTATTTGAATATATTAAATTTCACTGAACAGTGCCTCCTAATAAAAAGTGGCTATTTCTGCATGCCCACTGCATGATATTCGTGAAGTTCTCATTCGAAACATTTGTTTGATGGTACCATACTTAATATGTTTCCCAGGTTATAAATACTGTTTGAAATGAACCTTGTGCTCCTTTGACCTCTTAGCATTGACAGTCATGCTGCATTGTCAATTTGCATATTTAAATTTAATTAATTAATTGGTTAATTTGAGCAAAGATATGAATGAATGCCTAGTTAATCTATTTTGCGCAAAAAATTCTTTTGTTGGAGTTTTGATATTGTTTTCGCATTATTAGCACTTGGCCTTATGGTATGAATAACCAGATTATAGGGTTGTCCTTGTATTTGGCGTTATGACTTATCAGATGAAGGATACTTATGCTTTAAGTCTTTAGTTTGGCTTCCATTCTGTTACATCTAGCATTCTGCTATGATTCATTTTTCTAGGTATTTGTTTTTTTCCCCCAGAATTAATTTGTAAGCTAAAAGCTGATATGTGATACAATTGCATAGAGTTTTCCTGGTTAGAACGGCAATAACGCATAATGCTTGAAGTAAGAAGGGTGAATAGAGTTTTCGTAACATTTTTCTTAAATGGCTTATATTTAAATCAAATCATTACTTTTAGGAGATGAGACAGAGAAGTACTCGTAAAGGAGCGACAAAACCGGCTCCATCTACTGTTTGTTATTGGTAAGCTTTTGATGTAAGGTTATGTTGAAGTATTATAATTTGATTTGTTCGAATTTGAGTGTTTTCGTTGTTGCTATCAAAGCTCATGTATTTCTATTTTTAAATCTGGCAATTTTGGTTTAATGATTTAATTTGGTTAAATAGCTAAATGCGCAATTTTATGCTGTTTTATTAAATCTAGGGAAAGAAAGAATATTGGGATGATGTATTTGCACCCGTAAATTTGACAGTTTGTGGAGCGACATTGTAAATGGCTTTGAAGTTTCGTATAAATGAATAATAACTAATGAGAAGCAGGACAGGTCTACTTTCACTTTTCACTGAATAGAAAGTAGAAATTAAACAGATTTTTCAGTGATGGTAAGCGTGAAGTGGGAACATTAGAGCTGTATTGTGCTGTTTGTCGAAAATGGTTCCATGGACGATGCTTAAAAGATTTAACTGATTTGTAAGTTAAATTTTCGAACCATCTTAACGAGAGAAATGTTAGGAGATATTCCATCATATTAAATTACCGCAACCTGAATTATTTCTTTACTTTGTAGTTATGGATTACCATTCATGGTATGCTATGTGTTCAACTGTGCCGACTGTAGTCCAACGAAAAAGGAAACATGGACACCGAAACAAGCAAGTAGGAATTGTACATTATTTAAGAATTAAGTGGTTCTTATAATTTAGCTTTTAATTTCTAGATAAGGTTTCGGCATTTCATTTTATAGAATATTGCAAAATTCATAGTGACATAAAAAGTCTTAATAATTTATTTGAAATTCTTATAGTTTTTTTTTTCAGATTTTGCCCACATGTGTGTTACTGTTCTTGCAAATCTGACGCACAATGCACGGACTAAAAGAGCTAGTACAGGAAACGAGTCTGATGATAACGATCAGGAACTGATATTTCTAAACCTGGAAAATGAAATTATACCTTATTTCAATGCACAGTGGGAAAATCTTACATCTATGAGTCGTAGGTTAGTTTCTTTTAGGAAGTATTAGCACTGTAATCTTCAATAGTCATTTAATTGCAACTATAACAGTATATCTGTTCAAATATGTTTTAAATGAGGTCGGTGAGGTCTCATATTACATTCAGCATATCACTGCATATGTTGCAAGAAATTGAGTTTTTTTTCTTCACATACAGACATTTTTTAACTTATCATAGTGATTAGAATGTGCAGTAGAGAAATTGATACAAAAGACATACGAGTATTTTAAAGGACAAATTTTTGAAAAAATTCTAGTTGGAATTTTTTAATATGCTGCAATTTGTTTTACTTTGTTGAAAGAAACTTATTGAAGGGTAAAAAATACTTGGCATCAAACGTTGCAAAAGTCTTTGACCAAAGAAACAGAATTATTTGAATCAAGCGATGACGGACAAATATTTGCGTTACGTGAACTTGATTTATCATCCATAGGTCCGGGTCATGAAGCGTTGAAGCAGGTATTATACTGTGAATTATTTGGTGACGTAATGAAAGTAAATTAGTGCTGCTATTTGTCATTTCTATAGGTGGATGTTTAATCTTTTTTACAAAGCCTCTAATTCTTCTCAAAAAGTGAAAAGCAAAAAAAAAAAGCTTTAGATCGGTCGAAGTAAACCATTGGTTTCAAGTTTAGCACGCGATTTGTCTAAAGAGAATTTCGACAGGTCTGACGATTTAGCCGATGGTCCCAAGACAAGAGGTTCATCCAAACGACGCTATGTTGATCCTCCGAATACGTTCAAAAAGGCAAAACTGTAGGTTTTCTTAGATTTAAGTTTCTACAAGATGAATCTTAATTTCTGGAGAAAAATAGTCTTACCGAAATGTTGCATCATATATGGTGAACATTCTTGAAGTTTTCCTGAATCTGGAAATATCGGATTCGTATGGGTCGGTCATGTGGTCTTTCGTTTTTCTCTGCTATATTTACTTTTATTTTATTGCGAGACTAGACTAGGTTTTTGCTTGGTAGAAAAGAAAGAAGCAAGCACGGAATTCGTCGCATTTTTTATTCATTGTGTATTTCAGTACTGCTGATTATGCATCGACACGAATTATTGGGATTTCTGCACCCATCGATTTTCCATTTAATCGCGAAGGTTATCGGTATTATCTTGTCGAAAAAGACCTCATCGTTCCTAACAGGTAAGTTTAGGCTTTCATTGGTAGCTCTTTTCAGTTTCCGGATTTTTCATTATGAAGTTCGAAATTACTTTATATTTAAATTTTGTATTTTAATATCGATTTAAATTGCGAAATGCATTCTAAATTACTCCATCATACAATACTGTTACTTCAATTACTTCGTCTGCATTGCTTCTACATACTCCGAAAAGCAATACTGTTTTCACAAACTTCGCTAGGATTCTTAAATTTGTCAGATTTTGAAATGGTTGGTAGTGTTGCTGTCGAGGACTTTTTTCTGCTATAAAAGCATTTTGAAAGTCAGTGAAGACTTCAATTTAATGGTTTTCTGTTCCCGTTTAGATATATCGTTCAATATAACCAAATTGGTTTCGAAAAAAGGAAAATTCAAAAAGCATTTCTCTGGTATTGTATCCTTGATTGAAATTGAGGTACTTTCCAGAGACATTTTTGAATTGGAAGAAAGCACCTACAACAAACCAATCCCAGCACACATTTATCGTGTTGTTGTTCACCCACTAGTTACTTTGTCTCCAAATGATCGTGCTTATCAGGTACCAACCATTTCGTGAGTCTTTTTATCGGGAATATTGGGATTTGAAGATCTGAGCTTGATTTCGGACTTTATTAAAAAACTTTTTACGATACTTTTCCTAGAGTGGAAGTCCAGAAGCACTTTTCCTAGAGTGGAAGTCCAGAAATTATAAATAAGTAGTTCAGCTAAAGGACGTCATTACAGTCTGTTACTCGTGCAATAGTTTTAGAAAATCTCTATATCTTTTATTTGATCCCGATAAATTGCAGATTGGTTTTTTAGTTGAAATTGTCCGAAGATCGGTTATCCGTGAGCGGTTTTGAAGGTTACAGTGTCGCTCGAGCTACTCACTCGGTTTCCCATGGTACTTGGTATTTTGAAGTGGTTTTTACGGCGCAACCACCAGGTTCACATATAAGGATCGGTTGGAGCCAGGCTTTGGGTAGGTACTCGAAAGCCTTGGTTTATGAGTTCTCAAAATAGTTATAAGTCATTGAAAAAAGAAACTTTATTGATTCGGAATCATACTTTCAGCACCGATACAAGCATGTGTTGGCTATACACAACTATCTTATGCTTGGCGAAGTCATAAAGGCAC